GTGAAACCTGTCATGGTTTCATTGCAATTGCACTGACCTACCCGTTCTTGATGAAATAGAGGAAGACATTGACTATACCTGCGAATTGTGTATCTCTAAGGGCTTCCCCTCGCATAATGATTGATACCACACAACCCGGATACTGTGTCACTCTGAAAACTCGAGACATTATAACTTAATATGTATGTAACATGTGCACTGCTTAATTGTAGCAATTTCAAAGTTGAAACAAAACGAAATGATTGTTTTGATCCATTTTGGATCCAGTTTTGATAATTTTGAACTATTTTCAAAAACAACATTATAGTATCAAAAAAATTCCTTTTTAGAACTGAGCATTTGTGAGTTGATATATCTAATTTGTACCCACTTTGGGAATATAATCACCCTGGAGAGAAATAAAGCAATAAGTGTTATGATGTTAATTATGTTATTTTTAGTTATATTACAAATAATAATGTAAATACTTTAGCCTATTTCATGTACCCAATATCCAGTTGACCTTTTCTTAACGTATTGTACCGATTTCAAAATCAATATTTAGAACGGAAATGACGTTACACAAAGTACCTATCAAAACTCAAACGTTTTACCGCTGACAACTCTTTTATCTACTTGAAAATTAATCCAAGCATGTAAAACAAATTGGTTTTAAATCAAATAACTTCTGCAGTTCGTTTAGTTTTTATTCTCTTGACTAAAAGAGCAAAAATTCTAAGCGGACGAGAATAGGATTTGGTATGCCGAGAATGGGTTAAGGTCGGACGTAAATAGGTAGAAGCGGCCGAGAATAGGTCGACAAAGCCTTCGCGCGATTCTCTTTCAAAATACGATAAAATGTACTTTTATCTGGGGAAAATGTCGATAGAATTGTCTTACAAAGATGAAACTAACTTTTAAAGGTAAGTTTTTAAAATGAAAATGAATAATCGTGTGGTATTTTATATATTTTTTGAAAGTGGACGAGAATAGGTGACGATACCTTACATATTATTATGGGTTCTTTTGCTAAGCTTAATTTCTTCAAAACAAAACCTCGTGGTCGCCGCGATCTATGAAATATTCATGACACTGTAAGCCATCAACAACATAGTTAAAATGGCCGAGACGACATAAAATCACATTGCACTTTAAAAATACATAAATATTTCCTGCATAAATCGATTAAATCTTAGTTTGCACCNTTTGACGAAGACGCTTACAATCGGCCCATATTCATGATAAAATTCCAATGCCTGAAGCTCAATCTCACAGCAAAAGACTTGTTTGGCTTATAATGTACAATGCTGTACAAGTATAAAGTTATGTCTCTTGCCAGTCTTCAAGATGTGATTATTTTCAGTACATAGTAGTTTCTGTAGCGACWCTGAAAAAGTGTAGTTTTAGCGTTTTTCCAATTCATTCAAAACTGAGGCCGAATTTGTTTTTGTGTTCTTAACTGAGTTGTTTCATCACTATATGGACAACATTRTTGCTAAGTTTCGATTGGATTGCCAACAAATCAGAATCCAAGAATACGACACAGCTACGATACAGTTACGGTACGGACRCTATTCGTCATCGCCGTTTCCCAGTCATACGAAATCGCCTCTATAAGCGAACAAGTCTTTTGCTGTGAGACTGAGCTTCAGGCATTGGAATTTTATCATGAATATGGGCCGATCGTTTTTCTCAAAATCGGCTAGAAGAATTTCCATGATTTTGAGATATATTATTAGCTATAACCTACAGTTAAATGCAGTACTTTTGATTTTTCTAGGTGCCATCGAAATTGGAGGGAAAACAGCTTTCTTTGAATTGCAGTAAATTAAAACAAAATACATGTTTTTAAATTTTCCAACTTTGTGATGAACTTTGTGGGAATTAATGATGATGCTGATAGTGATCATTTAACTCACTGAGAGCATAGTTGCACTTTGTCTTTCATAGTCTGCCTTTGCTTTGGCAAGATCTTGTTTATTCTGAAGTATGTAAAGATGATATTATAATAAAGTAAAATTAATCAAACATAGGTCAAAGTGAAACCTGTCATACAAATTTTAATGATTATAATTCTATTAAATACTGCAACCCTAGTAGAGGATTAGAGTGAACTTCTGGTATCCGGTYAATTCGTTCCAAAGTGGTTGTCTGTAAAACACGGAACACCTCCGGAATACACACACAMAAAAAATAAAAATGACAAATACAATAAAGTGGATAGTGAAATGAAAGACAGAAATACACAAAAACATGAATCAATGAATGAATCAATAAAACATTMAATTATCTTGATTGAACATTTTTTCCRTCTTTGATATTCATTAGAAAACACTAGAAAATTATCAAATATTTCAATTTTAATTTTGTATATATTAAGAGGCTATTAACCGAGCTCGAGGTCTGCACGGAAAATATCAGATCGAGGTCTTTCCGTACTTCTACAACTCATTAATAGTTCATGAGCTATTAGTCCAATGAGCATCAAACTTTTGGGTCACATGATGGGCCTTTATATCCCGATAAAGCACTGATGTTTTTGTAATCAGTTATATATCAAATATATAGAACTGATGTTTTATTAATCAGTTCTATATCAGATATAAAGAACTGATGTTCAAGGTCATCAGCGCTTTATCGCAACCCAACACTAGCAAAGGTCTCTGTTTTAATTTTGCATCATAATACCTTTGCTAAGTTTTAAATCAGTTTCAATCAATGTGCAGACATCCCACACATTCTTATGTGTGCGATCAAAATTCTTTCAATTGTGGCAAATGCAAATGTTCAGTAGAAGTTAAATGTGCATAATCACTGTTTTGCATTTTTTTTGCTTTTTTTTCTAAAATGATAACAATTTCTGGATGTTAGAGTGCTAGAAGTAGTATAAAAAACTCACAGTCGTGCTTTATCAGGGATATAGACACTCGACCTTCGGCCTCATGTCTATATCTCCCAATAAAGCACTCCTGCTCATTTTTTAAACACTACGTAGCAGATCGACTCAACATTCGTAACAATGCGTAACAAATTGACTGGTAGCGAATTGACTTTGGAACGAATTGACCGGTATTTGAACTTCCACAGGAAAATTTACAACATGTAACAATGTCTAATAGCTATGCCGATGGTTTGGCTTTGACAACTAAATCCTTAAGTAACTATGTGAAGGGATTTGGATCACTAATGGTTTGCAAAACCATGCTAATGGCATTGATTGGATGACCAACAGTCTTCTTGTGAACCATAATAGTCTATCTAACAATTAGACCATGATGTTGAGTGGACTAAAAATACCAGTTGATAGTCAATGAGGCCATATACTCAGAGCTGAATGGACTATCATCTTGAAGTCCACAGACTGTAAATGTTAAATTAAGTATTCACTAAACTATCAAATAAATTTGACAAAAGAACCTAAAAAAGCAGCTTTTTTTAATAACATTTCTTTGTATCATCGATGTAAACATGATATCACAGTTGGTTTTACATTTTTACCTGATCTAGCTTACTCTGGTTTTGTGGCTGCTTCTCTTTTTCTTGTAGTTTTTCACTTTTAGCTTGTTGCTTTGCATACTCCTTAGTAATTTATAAAAAAAGGAGAAGATAAACAATGCAGTTATCATGAAATCTGATCAAGAATCACCAGCTCTAGTCAGTACTCTCTTGTAATTACATACTTCCATACCAAATTCTGACATACTGAGACATATACTTGACCGGAAATATTACAGTGCAATTTGAAAAAACCTTGGCCACCTAGAAATATTTCGGGAATTATGTTTAATGTTAATTGACCAATCAGAAGCGAGATTAACCGTCATCAAGTGCATTTGCAATATTACAAATACATAATATTTGCAATGTTACAAATTAATAAAACTAGTTTAGTCACCAAAACTCRCACTGTAAAAGTTCACAAATAGTACAATTTCATTGTTTAGAATTAACATGTAAAGTTTGTCCATTTATATTTTTCATCATGTTTTCTTGTTTGTCAGCTAAAATCACTTTTCAAGTACATAYTGTATTCCCTAAATATTTCTAGGTGGCCACGGTTTTCGATTCGCACTGTAACTTCTGGACAAAATAATATTGAGAAAATGAAAAGCTACATAAACATGATGTCATAAGATCACTATGTTACTTACAAAAAAGCTTTGTTCTCTTGCTTTAATTGCTTCATTTACACTTGGGAACACATGATAAAATCTATTAAATCATAAATACGGCAAATTTAACCAATGAATATTCCACCAAGAATTTGTGCACCTATAACATAGTATAACAATTATTATTCAACATTAGAGTGAAGTCAATGAACCCGTGAAATACATATTTCACTATTACATGTTATTACTTGATAATTCCATTGTTTTCTTTTGTGTCTATTTGACTATTACAGTTTAAGTATTTACTTTTATTTCACGGGTTCAATGCCTTCACTCTATCATATACATGTATTACATACCTTTTCATTGGCTCAACTACTGTTTTTTGGGTCTGCAAAACCTTGTAAAGTAAAGTAAAGTAAAGTAAAATAAAGTAAAGTAAAGTAAAGTAAAGTAAAGTAAAGTAAAGTAAAGTAAAGTAAAGTAAAGTAAAGTAAAGTAAAGTAAAGTAAAGTAAAGTAAAGTAAAAAAATAATAATAATTCATAATTATGACTGATATTTAATTTAACAAAACAGCATAGTCTAATATAATTGTAGTTCAGTATAGTCGTACAGCAAAACTTAATAAATTATAAAAAATAAATGTATCCTGATGCTTACTAGTATTTGTCTTAACTCATCAAGTGTCACTGTAGCTCTCCCACATTCCTCCATCTGTAATTACATGTAGTACAATCATGATACGTTGAAAATGTTGACATGTAAATATGGAAACATGGAAAACTGCAATGATGTCTCTTCTGCTTGCCTGACTAAACAACACAGTTGTAGCAAGTTCTAGCAGTTGGTTAGACAAGAGACAATTGTTATATGATTCCAACATAAGAATAATCTGATAAAAGGACTCTCTAGCTGGGACCACTACTCTTGGCTTGTATGTATGTCGTGTGACTGTATACAAAACAATTGTAAAATTCAATTACATAGAAAAAGTAAGACTACTAATCACTATGAATCTAATTTAAGAAAGAATCTGAGCTTAATCAAGTTGTTCCCAAGTTACAAATGATGTTAATATGTGGACAATTTTCACCAAAAAAAATGTGTTCCAGCAYCATCCTTGTAGGTGCATATGTTGTGATCCACTAAMGTTATTAAAAAACAAAAAGTTTCATGATTGTATATTCCAATTCTAAAAGCATTCTACTAAACTTGTCTGTGTTGAAAAACCAGGTCACTACACAACCTTTGAAAGGAATCTCAAGATTGGTTTAGAAAAAATAGGCAAACAATGATAGATGCTCTTTCAAACACCTAACAAAATGGAGGTTCTATTAACTAAATACAGAAATCAAAAATCAAGCTTTGAATATTGAGAACAAAGCACTAAAGCGGATATTATGTCACATGMATCTTTCGTATAATAAGCTTGAGAACAGTATCACTTGATTGGTTTATTCTGTCACCATCTCTGATCTAACTGTTCTCTTATTGGCTGTTTTTCCTAAATGTGCCAGCATTGTAATTATTAAAAAATGTAAAAAATTTACTCACAGATTCTTTTATTGCATTGGATTGGGTGACTGGATTACTGTTTAAATCCTGAAAGATCTTCTGCTCAGCTTTACCTAATGCTATAGAAACGGAACAGACATTGAACAAAAAATTATGCCACAAAGACAGCTAATGAACATTCTTAATTTACAGAATCAGTGCAACAGCAAAACACACCAGTCATTGATTCTCCATACTTCTTCATCACTTTGTACATTTTCTTGGTTGCATTTTCCATCCTAGTATAATAATAAATTAATAAATAAAATTGTTCATGAATCCAAATATCATTTAATTTCATGTTTTATTTTGCTAGCTTTTGTCTTTTCAGTTGGGTACCAGCAATAGGAGAAGCAATTACTGTGGACAAGAGATCAACATGGACTTAGAGTGAGCCCGTCTTTGACTTTGGTCTTAGGTAGGGTTTCTTACGTCCTCAGTGGTTCTTTACTTCCACTAAATGCAGTATAGAAAGAGGAGTAAGGAGTGGGACCTCCAGTTAAATGTCGTTACCAGAGAAGGCATGATGATCTAACCATTTCAAAGTGGAGAAACAAAAGAAGCCTCCCCCCCTTATATTATATTACTACATATAAGACCGCTCTGTAATGCAAAGGCTCACTGCTGGATTTGAACCCTGACTTTCCACAAATTCATACTCAATTGCTCTGACGTAATGCATGATTGATGGCGACCCCACTTTTACTCACTCATTGAATCGTGCAACTTCCTTTTCAAAGTCATTGTCCACCTAAAATATAATATAACTTGTTTGCAAGTGGATATAAACTTATACAACCAAGAAAATGAAATGACTATTTTCCAAAATGCATTCACCATACTGCTGAAACACTTTACTCATGAAATTAGTAATGAAAAAATGAGTGCAGTTTTTATCCTCATACTGAGAAAATGTTCAAGTTAAACGTAGAAATTATCTATATTCTCAGACAAACTCTTCAAGATATCCTTACATAAACAATCTATAATATAATTTTTTGCAGTTTAAAAATAAAGTATAAAAAAAAAAAACTAAAATGAAATCCAATAAATTCAACATATTAACATAAAAACACACAAATAAATGCATGCAGATTGAATTTAACACTACTAACATGAAATATTCTCTCTGCAATGCAAAGACAATTTTGTTTAAATTCAAGCATTTGGACTAAAAATCATATTTTCCCTCTTCTCTGGTTAAGCAAATTAAAATAGATTATTTTTGCTGACTTTTATGATACTTCTAAAGAGAATTAGGCTCTTCACTATAAGTATAAGTTATTTTAACACATATAGTGAAAGGTATGTTGTTTATTAAATACTTACTTGACATGAATACCGTCTATAGTAATAATACCTAGACGATCTTTTTCCCATACAGCCAAACATTATAGAATATTAAATAGAAAGTTGGCTTCAAAAAAGTTAAAAATACTAAGTTGTATTGCTGGTATTTATGGCAGGTGTCTATGAGGGAAAAGCACTAAGCTTGGTTCTAGAAATATTGTTTTTGATTGAAGTACATGTACATCAAGTAGATCTGAATAGACAAGTAGTTCAAATGATTTGAGTCATGGCAAAGTTATACCCTAAAAACATTAAAATCCAGTTCAGCTTAGCAGCTGTTAATTAAGATTCTGAGGTTACATGAATGTCATAGATTACCATAGCAACTAAGCAGTTATTCACTCACAAGCTAAGGATATTAAATATTCAGAACTGCTGGTTGACAGTTAAACCTAGTGGTTACCAGTTGTTTAGTATCGATACTTTCTTGAAGCAAAACATACAATGCAATGTAGCCACAATTAAAGACACTGACTGTCTTTGCTCTATGTTACATAATGATGTAGCTACTAAGCTAATGTTGGTTCAATTCATTTCTGTTTGTTTGTTGTTTTTTATTTTCATTAAGATAGAAAATGATTGACTAAATATAAGTCATTTTCATTGTTTGTTTGCATTTTAGAGTTCCTGTCTCTCAATATTCATTTTTAAGGTTTTTGAATACGTTTCCCAAGTTTTAATTTAGCTGTTTATTAAGAGTTTATTGGTTTCTTGGCTGTTTCAGTTTATAGTAAGTTGCACCTTGTCTTGCAAAAACAGATTTTGATTATTTTATACATGTATAAATAGCTTAGTATATGGAAAATTAGAAAAAATATAAGCAAGTGCTTTACAACAGTCAATCCCATTAACGTTGTTCACTCTTCTAAACACATAAAGACAGTAACAAAGTTATTTGAATAAAATGTTTTTAAAATTCACAAGCCAGAATGATTTTAGTCCAGATAAATAGCATTTAATTGTTATTGACATTGTATGTATTTTTGCCATGACTTTATTTTGAATATTCTTCCAAAAATATAAAAAATATGCGTGCAGACTTTGTTGTTGATAACCAAAAGCTAATGAGATTGACTGTAATAACAAACAGTTTGTAGCTGTCTACTGGTATATCTCAATAACAAAACATGAAGAGACTGAGATAAATAGATAAAGCAAATTCTATTTGTGTTAGCTGGTGTATGATCCAGTGAGAGTCAAAAATTTCAAAATACTGAAATAAAATTTGGGCAATACATGTACTTGTAAAATTTCAAACATGATCACTGGTAATTATCAAGAAAATCAATTCATTTCTTGAACCTAGTCTTGCAAAGACTATTGTCAATAGCATTCATTGTAATTTTTCTTCAACATACATTTTTATTGTCAGTAATTGAATGTAATTCAGACTCTAGCTGATAGACATTATTATATTATATATATATTATATTCTTATTGTTATTCATATAATAACTGTCATTTTTGCAAATTACATTTTATGATGATAACAACAACATGTACAGTCATGTAYATTAAAAACGAGTAAAGATGTGGCCTTAGCAGATCAAGATTTAAATCTGATTCTAATGGACTGTTCATAATTTATGGGGGAGGGGGGATGGTGCATAGATTTGAGATTATGGAAGTCGACATACTAGTATATGATGGAGAACAAAACTATTCATGCCACCCCTATTTAGAGCAGCTTAACATTATATTTGCCCCTTCCTCATACATGTAAATCATGAACAATCCCTTATGAACTAAGAAGAGATGGAAGTAGTTTATTTGTGATTCTCTTTCCTTTCACTCCACTCTGCACAGATTCTAATCGTCTGGACTTATTGTATGTACCTAAGGTACTCTCTCCATTGGTGGTAAGGTATATTGTTTGTGACATTACCAGAAGTGGAATTTGAAATTGTGTTTTAAAAATAGATAAAGCTTGTTTTAGAATTTGAAATTGTGTTTTAAAAATAGATAAAGCTTGTTTTAGAATTATGTACTTACCGTAATTTTTGAAGGAGGGCGTCCCTTTGCAGATATTAACTTGTTGAACGGGTTAATCCTGTATAGATTTACATTTAGTTAATAGTCAATGTCATATGGAATGTGCAATGTGTAGTTCAAGAAACTGCCTTATACTCATTAATTATTCACAATGTATCCAGCCAATGCATGGTTATAATTTCTCATACTCATTCATTATTCATGAGGTATTCAGCCAATTGCAATGCGTGATTGCAATTWATACCACGTGCATTACTAACTGGAAACCAGAGGAAGTTTCCTCCTCCTATCTCCTATCTAGTTATGTCCACCTTGTTTCCTGTTATTCTACCTTATTATCAGTTGAAACCTTCCATTTACTTTCACCTTTTTTTCCAGCTACTACTAGCTAATAATATTCAAAGTATTCGAAATAATCGATTTAGTATACAATTATGGTCTTTTTTGATACATTACTGCCTCACAAAAAGATCCTCAACAGTCCAGTCTATATGYGCCGTCTTAAACCATTACACCACTGAGTTTCTGATGCAATAGTCTCCTTCACAGTTCCTAGTGCCTATCCTGAAAGGTAGGCGTGCTTTTACATCAAAGCGAGAATACCATTGAGCGTGCAGTTATAGAAACCTGTGAATAATTAGTAGGTGTGAAAGGTTTCTATCATTGTGGTCGTCTTGCTTCAATGTAAAGGCACAGCTGCCTTTCAAGATGGTGCAGGAAAACTTGAAGAAGACTATTTACTCGGAAGATAACATACTTATAAATCTTATGAATGAAGTTCATTAGGAATGCCATGAATAGCAGACAAAGACATTATTTGAACAGCTTTTGTTTCAGAAACCCATATGGGAATTGGTGAACAACAAATGGTGCTTCCTGTATTCAACATAATGATTATGAAAAACTGAAAACCCGGCTGGAAAATGCAATGAATCAATATATTTCTGTTATATGTCTTTCCTTCGCTCCCAAATAATTAATGAGTATGAGAAGTCCAATTTGGCTAATTCCTCGGACTGGAACTAATTGTACACACTTAATCCCGTTTAGTTCTAATTATCGGACTTCAGACATTACTTTCATCTTTTGCAGTATCTGGAAACCATACTAGCACATTACTTCTACCTTGTATCTAGTTACTTCTACCTTATTTCCAGTTACTTATTACCCATTATACCCCCATTGAATTGTTTTTTGAATAGAATTTGAATAGTGTTTGCTTCATTTGCCCATTTTGATATAAGTTAAAATAATCCTGAACAGGATTCAATGTCTGAGTAATCAGTTCCACTGCCAAGCCCACTGTTGAACTTTGAATATCTCTACCTCTCTACATGCTGCAGGCCACGTTATAACCTGTCTAAGCTTATCATACCCCAAAAGGTAATATAAGCTTTTTATAAACATAAGCTTAACTTTTCCCATAGTTTCGATCTTTCCTCGATCTCTAAATAAATAGCAATTGAAATCGTAAATAAACTATTAGTGTAGAAAGGCTAAATTCCAGCCTCTGGTATCTAGGGCAACCTTACCAACTCATTTCAACTGAAAGTGATGGCCGATACAGTTTTCATAAGATGTAATGTAATGATTTAGGTCGATCGTTAATCAGTCGTMACTGATCGAATTCTAGTCGGAGGGCGCTAATGTTCCTCTCTCTCCGATGCAAAACAAAACCAAAACAAAAAAAGAAGATAAATAAATAGTCACCATGAAATATCCTTTATCACTGGTCTTAAGAGGAAGCGAAAAATGAAATGCAGACCAGACAAACTACATTGTTTGATTTCGTAAAATGATCGGTTGTTCGGGAGCCTCTCATCGGTCGGTCGGTCCACATGGTCCACACGGCACACATCGAACTCGCTTCGCTTAGCCACCATCTTTTGTTAACTGAAATAACTTCAACTGTTTGGTTGATTGAGATTCGTTAACAGCTGAGTTTCGTTGCCAAAATGCCTAATGTGAACATAAAGAAAGAAAAGGAGGATAACTCTTACAGTGATGATCGAACTGAGACATCAAATAATCCAGTTCAAGCTCGAGTGGTGTCTCTGAAGTCAACTAAGGCTCCAGTCAAAGGTGAGAAATCGTGCTCTGTTTTCAGCTCATTTGTTTCTTCGAGCTATGTTTTTGTATTGAAATAGCATTTTTTATAAAGGTAAATCTTCTTCAAACAACTTGAAGGCAATAAAAGTAAAAACTTTGCAGGAGATCAAAGAGGAGAAGAAGAAAGGTGAGAAGTTGGTATTTTCTACTGACAAGCATGATTGTTGCCGGTTCTTTTTTATCCACATTCTACCTGTGTTTATTTAAATGTTGCCTTTTTGTCCGATGCAAAGTTGTGTATATTTTCGTTTAGAATATTCTTCTGAAAGCCGCGGCTACACGGGCGATACTTCGCTTGCGCAGGCGACGCGATTTTCTTGAAGTCACCATCGCAMCAGCAACAATGCTGTATCGATAAAAAAATTCCTCACAAATACTTATTTGAATCTCCATGTACATAAGCAGCTCAAATTCGATGTTCAGTTTTCATCGTACCCGAAAGTCGCGTCGCCTGCGCAAGCGAAAAAACGTGGCGAATTTATTCGTACYGCGATKTATATGCACGAAGTAGTCTATTTGCACGTGTCGACTTGATGCAATGGGCGGTGTAGGGCATAGACCGAAGCTTTTGTCAGACCATCCAGGCGATTGTTTCTGAAATATACTAACAGCTAACAGATTAACAAATGGTGCATGTATATAAATCGTAATTATATATATAATATCAAAGAGGCAAGATTTTCCGAGTTTCGTGCTACGCACTAATCAGTATTTTAAAAATAAACTAGACGCTTGTAAAKCGTGATGCGGGCTAGCTTAGCAAAACATTCACAATACAAGATGAAAATTGTATCTCCAATGAATATTGTGACTATGACGTAACTATATATGAAAGTAAAATATGCCGTCGAATACCTTAGTTTTCTTTGCAGTTCAATTCTTATCGTTAACCTTCACTGTCTGCTATAATCTGGTCATATATTAACTATCAACCATAATCTTTTTGCTATAGTGATTGTCCTACATTTGCAATGTATTTTGTAAAAATATTTATGGAAGCTCTTTACTTCTTGGTTAGCGATATCACATCTATTATTATTTACATAGCAGTGCATTTTAGATGGCATGAGTGCATTCTTTAAATTTGGTTTTATTAGCCTTTCTTTCGTACAAAAGAAATCTAAAAATTGAAGCAAAACAATGCTCAATTTCAAAACTTGTACTTTGTCATTTCYAACTAATAAAAAACCCTGATGATATTAAAGCAATTTCTTTGAATTTAAACAATAAAAACATTGTCAATTAAACAGAAGAATACCTTTTGCTGTCTATAAATGTGGAAAAAAAGCCAGTATTTGAGCTGATTTCATGTTGAAGCTGTACTGAATAATCATCGAGCTGGACTGSTGAGGAAGGCGAGACTATTTTCGATGCAAAATCTTCTTAAAATGATAACTAGCAAGCTTGAAACTTCACAAATGCAAAATCCTAGTTCAATTCTTCAATGAGAAAGCTTTTGGTATTTCTTGTTGATAGTTTTTGAGTACCGTATTTACCCATGTATAAGCCGCTCTTGTAGATAAGCCGCACCCCGAGTTTTAGGAACGTTTTTGAGGAAAAAAAAAGATGGAAAATAAACTTTTCTCTTTTTGATTGCCACTTGCGAACACAGCTTTCTTTGATTTTAAAGTGCTTTTCCRCTGCTCGATTTCCGTGATCATGCATTTCGTATGCAATTACAATCTGTTTATTTAACGTACGGTGTACTATGATGGATTTGATCTTGGAGACATAATTGTTAAGATTGATAATTGATACTTTAAAGAGTTGTTTTTCATTCAAAAGGTAAAAGCAAACTAGTAATTAACTTGAGTGATATAAATCTCATCGTGCCGCCAAACTTCTAAACATAATCTAAACATAATCGTTCGAAAAAATATCAAAGCAGATTGTATTTGTTTAATATAAGGAACAATTTCTTGGGCTTATTTMTTGGGTATTCAAAATATTTACCCTGTATTCTTCACTTTAAGTGTGACAAAGTCGCTTAAATGATCAATGCAAATTAGCATCGCGTTACCAAAACAACTCTAAGACAAAACGATTGAAAATGCTCTCTGTACATTTTAGCTCAATAACCACGCACTTTTCAGTTTGATTTATTGACTTGTGTTTCTCAGAGCTAGATTTTCAAAGAATTTATAGTAATACTGAGAAGTTTGGATTAAAATTTCTGTTCCCGCCGTGTAAAACACTGATGTCCTGTCTGCAGTAAGTAGCACCGTGAATGCTAATTTATGCAAATTACTTTTTATTGGGCATTTTTACAAGTCTTCTCGTRGATAAGCCGCACCCCCGATTTGGGAACGATTTTTTTGGAAAAAAAGTGCGGCTTATACATGGGTAAATACGGTACTTTTTTCTCTGTTATCGGCGAAGTACCCGCCATTTTGGATTTTTGAGAAAATTTTCAGTTCGAGAGAGACTGCAAACTAATAGGCTTCCTGTGGTTCGAGAGAGACTGGAAACTKCGACACGACAGAAAAAAGGTAAAACYATAGCTGGCTAGCACAGCTAGCCCGCTAACTAGACGCCCCTGGGGCGTGAAGTCTGACTAGCCATTTTTGAAAATTGATAGACACGAGTGAAAAGATTATGATGTTATATTCTGTCTAATCATATGATTATATTATGAATGTAAATGAACCTTGAGAAAGACAGGAGGATATTAC